ATCCACAAAAGTTCTTTTGAAATGTGCAAGTTGATTTATTTTAAAAATAATGTTTTTGGAATTATCTAATACAATGTTTATTTTACTTCATTGTTTTTTCCTTCAAAAAAACAGTGTTTATACTTAATTACTTGATTGAGTTTTTTTCTCTGCCTTTTATTTCATTTTTGCTATGGGATTGTATATGGTAGGTATCAGTGATTAATAGTGTCCTCTATAATCTGATAAACACAACTGCTATAGTTTATCACTAAAACTACCAGTTATTTTGCTCAACTCTTACACCCCATTATCTCTTCCACTTAGTGTCTAGTGCCCAAGAATTTAATAAGGTAAAAGCAAGTTAGAATGAAGAATTAGAAATGAGCAGCTTTGTTATTCATTTGATAAATGCAAGTTTAGTGTCTGGGCAGTGAGCATTATTATAGGACTTGAGTGTATACTTGGATAGAAAGTGTGAGGCAAGACACTGTGTTGCAGAGTATTGGGAATCACAAGCAGTGAATTCCTCCTACATATGTTTTATTTCCCCATTCATTTAGAAACCTACCAAGTACAAAATTCTTAAGTTTATCCTTCAACCCTAAAACCAAATCTCCCAGTGGATACGATTGTGTCTATTAGACTAGAAAAGTTGCTTTATGAAATAAGTTGATTGATGTTGAATTGTCCCTTTTAGGACCCAATTCTTCGACGGTCTGGAATGTATACCGTAGCCATGGCTTACTGTGGTTCGGGTAACAACAAAGCTATTCGACGCCTGCTACATGTTGCTGTGAGTACCCTCATCTTTTTCAGAGATAGGAGTGAAAGGGAAAATTTGCAGATCAACACTAAGTGTCTCGACACCCAGATTGCATGACCATCACCAGTGGTCTCTCGGTTCACTCAGCTTTCCAGAAGATATTGGATAGGATAACAGTATGTCAATGCATGGAAGCCCTTAAAGTCATTCAGGTACAACTTCTGAAACCCAAGTCCAAGGGGCACCCTTGTATACAAGGAACAAGACCATGTGCATGTGTGCAGCACCCTAGGATAGGGAAATCTGTGAATAGTGGAAATCACTTCTTTTTACAGCCTGTGACATTAGCTTCCAGGTTATGTTTTATTATAAGAGACACAGGATTTATTCTAAGATTACACAGGAAAATCGGTGCCCTGATTTTCCATCTAGTCGTAGTCCTCCCAGTCCAGATAGTTTATCAACAAATAACATTGCTTAGTAACACAACATTCCCACATATGTTGTAATTCAATAGTTTTCTACATCATGGTGCTGGGAAAAGGTAAACACAAAGTCATCTTCTCATGCAGAAAAGTTTAGAACTATTATTAGTTCCTTCTCAGAGATACTGAAATCCCACAGCATCTTTGGTAAATTACCCTTTATCAATGCAGTATGTGGTATGTTCTAAGTATTTGTGTTTTGCTTGAACTTAGGACATACTGTTTTGAAAATAACCTTGAAGGAATGGTTAGATTTTCATTGTAGCTGGCAAGAACTATAATGCAATGGAAAGAGTCTTTACAAGTATCTTTAGAAGAATCTTAAACTTCAACAAGCAAAAAGGCTTATAAGGGCTGAAATGAAATTCTCGCCGGGTTTTCTAAATTGTGGAAAGACATTCTAATAAAGGAATTGTAAATTATGAGAACGATTACCTTTGAATGATGTGGGCCCCTCATGGGTTTACTTCATAATAGACATATGGTATGTGGTTAATAAGGGTTTTTACCATTTTTCCTAGGTGAGTGATGTTAATGATGATGTCAGGAGGGCAGCAGTTGAATCACTTGGGTTCATTCTATTCAGGTAATAATTTTCGGTCTCATGCCATTTCCTTTTTTGTAGTCATTAACTAAACAAACTAAATGTCTAAATCCCAAAGATATAGTTACTTACACAGCTTTACTAGTCTGGTACCTCCAAAACAGGATATATGATGAGTTGGTTCTTACTGTTTCATAGTAAATTAACAGATGTATCAGGTGTTCATTGATTCCTTTTCAAAGATCTGATAGGCGTATTAAGCTATTCTACATTTCTTTTCAAAAGTTCACCTGTAGACTCCACACTTCAATTTCTTGAGTCCTTTCTTGTTGAATATCAGATTATTTAGCCACTTACTATCTTTTTATACCTTTGCCAATTTCTTTTTCCTCAGATTTGTCACCAGTGATTCCATAATTACATTCACAAGTTATCTTTCAGGGGGCTGATTTATTTAGCTGAGAGACTTGAATTTATTTAAGGTAACCATTGTCTACCTATTTTGCATTTTGATTATAGCTTTCTGGCTCTGCCTGTGCCTTTAGTACTTGCACAGTTTTCTGCTCCTTGATAAGGAAAGCACTCCTGATCCTGTTACACACATTTTTAGCACACATGATGCCACCATCAGGCCTGCGGACATGTTTTGTCTTCATTTTAGACAGCCTCTTAATAACTTTAGATCATACAGCGGCAGTTCCTTCAAGTCAGCCTGGGCATATACCACATGCACATTTTAGTGCTTTCCCCACCTTCTTGGTCAAAGTATAATACTATTACCAGATGCTCAGGGCAGCGTAGTTTCCTTGGAGACAGTGTTATAGGATAGCCTGTGCATATAAATCAAACGCTGAACTATTCTGAATGCCCAGACACCATCCCCAGAAGAGCTTGATTAATCTTAACAATGTAACTTATTTTTCTGGTATAAAAATCATTTTCTTGGAATAGTTCTTTCCTTCCTGTCATCTTTAGCATATCGTTCTAGCCAAGCTTGTGACCCTAATCTTTCCATATGCTTGCTCTAGAATTTAGGTACAATTAAAAAACAAAAAAATAACTTTATTATTGCCATTCAGAGAGACTTAATTTGTTTTTTAAAAATTCTTATCAGAGAACTGCATATGTTTAGTATGGGAAGTATATACTTCTAGGCATATCCTTGGTAACAGCTGGTGTGAAGTACCCTACTCATATTCTCTTCCTTTATATTTTTCCATATTAGTAACATATATCTCAACATATACATCAGTGCCCCCTGTGTGCGTGGTGCCACACATGATGTTGGTGAGCTTGCTGAAAACTGTTACACTTTTTCATTTGACAGTGCTTTGCTCTCTAACAAAATTCATTTTTGCCCTTGTATATTTCCTATGTTCACTCACATCCTAAGCTCCTCGTTTAAATAGCAGATGTGTCTCATGAGTTGCTTTTATGTTTTGCTAAGGTTTCTACTACTACCGAGGGTAATCAGACTTAGCACGTGATTGTATATATGCTCATTATTACTAAGGGACCATTCTGAGTGTCCTTTTTATAACACAGTTCTTAGATGTAGAAACTGGAAAACACCTCCAGATGACTTTGTCTAAAACTTAACTCACAGAAAAAGAAAATTAAATGTAATTGTCTAAGAAATTTCAGTTAAAACCAAGTTCTCTGAATTTAAGTTTAGCACTATTTTTCTGGAATAAGATTTATTTAAAAAAAATTTTTTTAAAGAAAATGAATTCCAAAATGGTCATCAAAATATCCCATTGTCATAAAGCTAAAATTCAGAACAGTTCTCTTGTAGACCAATGCTTTCTCCGCTGTACCTTTTCATCACAGCACTCTCTCAGAGTGGTTCTGATAGAATCTTTTTATTCTCAAGTTCTCACCATTAATTTTATTTGGGAAATTTCTGTCTTACCTCCTAAGAGTATGTTTTTCTGATGTGTCATCATTTGCTTAGTGTATGCTCCATTTTATAATCTCTTCCCTTTTAAAATGACTTTGCAGACATTTGACTCTCTTGAACCAAGTTTGCAGGATTTATTTCTTCCTAATTTTTTAAACTTCTTTTTAAATATACTTAAAAATATACATAGAAAATACACATGGAAAACATGTCAGTAAATATGTATTTTTACTTTAGCAATTAAAATGAAATTATTTTTGTGGAAAACTAAAAATTCTTATGTTTATTGTTTTTTTTTTTTTAATAATTTATGCGTACAAGAACTGGGGTACAGGCCAGAGGTGTGGGAGGTGAGAGGATTCACTATGGACAGAGTGGGAAACAGAAAAGGCAGACTGACTGAAATACACTGCTAAGGGGAGCAGCAGGTGAGACAGGAGAGGTCTGCTGTGCCACGTGGGTACCTCCCTGGCCTGGGATTGAACTTGTGCTGTAGTGGCTGTGGATAGCTTCACAGGTTGCGTCTTACCACCTTGTGCCACCAGGGAGGCCCTGTTTGTTTATTGTTTTATTCTCAGGATAGTCATGGTCCAGAGAGTTATAGTATTTGATATCTGGATTATTTTTTCATAGCGTATATGGTAAAAATAAAAAAATTAAATTGAAAAATGTTCTTGCCAAACTGAAATGGATCTAGTTCTTTTTTGATCTAGTACACAGGTGATTGTGGGGCCCACTCTTACCAGTCTAGTTGACAAGTCTCATTACAACTGTTCTTTGAACTTACTGTGGTTCACATTGGCTGAAATGCAGTTGGAATTGTTGAGATTCTGAAGAAAAGTTTAAAGAGCCATTGGTGTTTACATGTTGAAATTAAATTGTTGTAATAATAAACAAATTGATCTGATGTAGACCTTTGTTAAAATTAGACAATTTTGGAGACCCCAGGTCATCTTTGCTATGACTTAAGCTGTTATAGTATGAAATAGTATTTCTCATTTTGTATATTCATATGCTTTCGGGTATGGGTACATCTTGCAGGATGAGAGGGAGATTCTTGATGTAAACAAATTTTTAAAAATTTTTTTATTTTTTAAAGATTTATTTATTTATATAAGAGCAGGGTACAGGCCAGATGCGGGGGAGGGTGAGAGGATTCACCAGAGCCAGAGCGGGGAACAGAACAGGCAGACTGACGAAATATACTGCTGAGGGGAGCAGCGGGCGAGACAGAAGAGGTCTGCGCGCCATGTGGGACCCTCGCCGGCAGCCTGGAATTAAACCAGCGCTGCAGAGGCTGCGGGCAGCTTTGCAGCCCAGTGCTCAACCGCTGCGCCACCAGGGGAGGCCCTGTTCACCTTTTATACAATAGCATAAAAATAAAATAGCAAAGGTAGATAGAATTGGTTTCCACCTACAGAGTGCTCACTCTGCTCACTCATCCTCTTAAAAACCCTATGAAATGAAGATAAGGAAACTAAACCTAAGAGAAATGAGCTATCTTTCATAAGTTCACTCAGTTAGCCAGTAAGTGACAGAGGTTAAATTTATTCCCAGATGAGGCAATGCAAAATGTCATAATGAAAGGGTGAATAAAAGATTTATGCCAGAAATTCAACCAAGTTTTGGGGCAATGTTTGTGAGTTCACTGAAGTTTATGTTCCAGGTTGAGTTCCCAGGGCTGTAGCTTACACTTGTCTTTAATCAGCATAATGAGGTTCTGGTACCAGGAGTGATTTCATTTGCTTTCTCCTCCTTCTCTAGTATACCCACTTCTGTGAGTAGATGCCTGGTGTCAGCCATCTAGCAATCAGACCTACTTAGGTCTGATTGTTTTATGTGATAACCAACTACTCTTTTACCTATCTCTTCCACCAAGACAGTTTTTTGATCAAAAGTAAAATGACTACATTTAACTAAGCCATACTGTCAATGACAATCTTATTAGCTTACCTGCAGATGGGATTATTTTAGGCACTTATCTTTAGTCTTCTTTTTCCCTCACTGTTGTTCTGTGTGAACACCATTCTAAGGTATAAAGCATATATGCCTTATGCCTTTGAGACCGTAAAGACAAAGTAAATGCTTGTTTTGTTTTGTTTTATTGCATTCTTAGCACAGCTTTGTATACAATTAGGAACTAAATAAATTTGAGCACTTCTTTTTAATGCCTGAAATTTATTGATGAATTTTATCTCATTTGAATCCCTTAATATTTAACCAGAGTGCTGGATTGTTTTAATTTGTAGCTCCACAGAATGATTTTTTCATGAAGTAACTTTGTTCATATAAGGAAAATTGGATAGTCTTAATACATAACTCTTTAAAGAAATTGCTTGATACATAACATAAGGTTCTTTTTATAATTGTTATATTTATATCTGCTTCATCATCTTACTCATCATATTAATTAGATGAAAACGCTGCCATTTTTGCTATACATAACTGACTTGCTCTTCAATTTTGTCACCTTCGTTTTCAGTTAGGAGAAGTGTATCTAGTAGAATAATCGATGAAGACTGCATGGTTGCACTTCGGATCCTTATTGGGCTCTGATACATGGCAGGATTAATCCCATTTCTCATTCCATGTTTCATGAAAAACTTAGAGTTCTCTGTCATTGGATTCCGGAAGTAGATATTACTGGAGCGATTTCTAAGAGATTTTGCTGATTTTGTGGCCCGGTAATTGCAGGTGATGTATCGGCCAAATGCATCACGAAATGTTTTATTGAAGAGGGTATAGACCAGTGGATTCACCCCTGAGGAAACATAGCCTATCCACACAAATACCTCCAGGAGCATTTCAAGAGTAGTCTGGTTGCAGGAATCACATAAAACTGAAGTTATATTTGTAATAAAAAAGGGACACCACATAAGCAAGAAGAGGAAAAACACAATCCCTAGAACCTTTGAGGCTCTCTGTTCATTGGAAATGGTCTGTAGTGACTTTTTTCCAGCTGTGGACATTCTTCGTATAAGAAGGTCATCACCTGAGGTGGGCATGTTTTTGTCCTTGCAAGAACCATCTAGCATTGCCACCTTTTCAGGTGATGAGCAGTATGTCTCATCCCTTTGGAAAACTGTAGACACATTCAGCCATGTTAGACGTTGAGGTGGCTTGTTTTTGACCAAGTAAGCTTTCTTCTGTAAAGCATGGATAGTGAGAAAGTAGGTGATAATCATGATTGCCAGAGGTATAAAAAAGGAAGCCAGTGAGCCAAAGAGCTTAAAATTGCTAAAACGATCCTTTGTCATCGCACAAGTGATATTGTTTGCATTACCCGCGGCAGTTTCTATCCCTCTAATAGGGACTGGAATGGCAATGCCTAAGAAGAAGAAACAGATAAGTTGAGTTAATTTTATGACCTTTGACCATTAGGTAAGGTCCTTATAGTTTATCTTTGTGACTGTGCTGTAACATAAGTCCTGCTACCCACAATGTACAGTCTGCCAAAGCACTTAATCAGTGAAAGATTTGACAAATAGAACCTACAAAAGCAAACCTGCTATTTTTAATTATTATAATTAAAGCCACCTTAAGGCTATAGTATGTTCATGAAATAGTAGTGTCTTCATTTAGTCTCCATTTTTCATAATCTATTTTTATTGGTGATCTACCCCAGGTTAAAGAAAAGAATTCAGAAAAGAAATTGCTCTTAATAGCCAGTGTAGTTTACCTAAAAGGCTTCATAATGCAATATCTTAATTCTTAACTATTTCGTTCTGTTTTTAGGTTATACAGTTTCACTTAACAGACAGCTTTTTCTTTTGATTATATGAATGTCTTTTAATCTTTCCTCCTGACCAGGGGTTCATTTTTCTTTTTAACACTGCTAAGAATGTTCTACATTCACATGTAGAACATGTGAATTGAAAAATTCATATTCAAGATTGAGAGTTTCTGTAGTAGAACTGTGCTTTGTGCTATTTTCTAACACTTTACATACCATGAAGTAGCTAGTTAGATATGATCTTGCTTAATGAACCAATTTTGTATTAGGAAGACAACTCAAGGATTGAGCCCTTCCCCTTTGAAAAAGCAGGTGTTTAAAAATCAGTCTGAATTAATCTTTAGAAATCTCTAAAATACTTGTGTTGTTTTATGAATCTGCAAGATCCCCATCATCTGCATAGCTTTTTTATAGTAGCTAAAGAAGTAGCTAGAGGGGGCTACATTTTCTCCTTTTCCTCAGGCATACTACCAGAAAGAAGATTCTGTATAATTGTTCTTCTTTACACTAGGGGTCAGCAAATTGCAGCTTGAAAGCCAAATTTGGCATCCTTTCCATTTTTGGTAAATTAAATGTTATTGGAACACAGTTGTATCCATTAATATATTGTCCACAGCTGCTTTTATTCTGTTGCACAGTTGAGTAGTTGTGACAGAAGCTATATATAAGCTGCAAGTCCAAAATATTTTCTATCTTGCCTCCTCATTACTTTAAACACCTAGCAGACAGACACTGCCTCTTTAGTCTGCGCCCACATTGCTTTCCAAGATGAACTTGGGGTTTTGATACCTGTGTAGAGAATATAATTTTGTGATTCTATATACTATCTGTTCCTTAATGATATATTGACATGATATGAAAATTTTTTAGACGTAGCCTTCCTACATGTCAAAAATCAAAGCATTATGTCAGTAAACACTGAAGATGGTTCTTCTTAGGACATGAATTTTTCAGCTTTTTTACACTTTTTGCAGATAGAATGGTATAGAAGCTATAGATAAATGTAATGGCATAATGAATGAGCTTGTGTTGGTTTATGAGGTTTGCTTGACCTCTGTGAGTTTCTTCACTTACCAGATACAGTATTCTGCTGTTAAATGGCACCAAAGGCTGTACATACATCACCCCACACCCTGACTTTCTCCACATACCTATTGAAATTAACCACACCACAGTAATCTTGATGAATGCTGTAGCTCGTGAGTTACACTGATTGGCCTGGATTGGTTTTTTGATGGCTATGTAACGATCCACGGAAATGGCACAGAGATGCATGATGGAAGCAGTAGAAAAAAGAACATCAAGAAATAACCAGGCAGGGCATACAACAAGTGGGAGGGGCCACATCGCTTCTAAAAGAAAGAAAAACAAAATAAAAATATATTCTCCTGCATGACAATTTTCAGCCTGTAGTTTCTTTTTAAAGTGGTACATTGCTCATCTGAAATTAACTTCAGATAATGAAGTCAATAAGATTAAACGGGATATTTTTGTACATGTTACCTTTTAAATACATTATCTGTTTCATATAATAATTATAACCATTTTTCTAAAGTAGCAGTAGTTGAGCATTTTTTAGCATTTATTTGACCTTTGCTCTTTTGTCTTTTTCCTTTTATGATCTTTTTAAAATTATACAATATTACAACTGGAACTTAACTTTCCTATTCAAGTAAAATTTGTTTTTAAGCTGCTATTATAGAAAAAGAAAAAAGCATTTGACCATATAGAGGAAGCAACATAATGTGGCAATAGAATATAAGTCTCAGGGAAGCCTGGGATTTGGATTCACTTCTAACAATAACTAACAGCATGAACTTTGTATATATAGCAAACTCATTTGCTTAAATAATGAAGTGGAATGATTTGAGTTTTCTTTTTGACAGAAATAGTTCTTGAATAAAGTTAACAAAAGGAATGACTTCAAATTATCCTGAAAAGAAGTGGATTGTTATCCTTCTGTATCTCATCCTTCATTCCAAACACTAGAGCTGTATAAGCAATACAGACGTTTGGTTTTAAAAGAAGAGCTGAGAATTAGACATAATTCTTAATTTGCTTAACAAACTCATAAAAAAGCACTTAGTGTACACCTCATATCATCTTAAGCACATTAGAAATACTGACTAAAAAAACTTAAGGTTTTGGAAATGTTATTGAATATTCTACATAGCTTTCCAATAAATTTACTTAAACAAGTAACTACACTATAATACATAATATATTATACATACACATACCTGTTTGCTATTTCACAGTAACTAAAAAAAATTTTTAGGATTTGTGCTAGAATATTTCAGGTAGAATACATTTTACAAAAAAATACATATACAGAGAGAGATAGATGATAGAACTTTGATGATAGATGATAGATAAAAGAAAATTACTCTTGTATAGAGCTAATGTACATCTCAGTCAAAAATGTTAAAATATTTTTTTCTTAGGGGCAAAATAACAAAATCAAAGTGAATTTTTATTTAAAAAGGATAAATGGGGCCTCCCCGGTGGCGCAGCGGTGGAGCGCTGGGTTGCGAAGCTGCCCGCGGCCTCTGCGGCGCCGGTTCTATCCCCGGCTGCTCCCCGGCCACCAGTGGAGGGTCCCACATGGCGCGCAGACCTCTCCTGCCGCCTGCTGCTCCCCTCAGCAGTGTACTTCGGTCCTTCTGCCTGCTCTGCTCTCCGCTCTGGCTCTGGTGAATTCTCTCACCCTCCCGCGCTTCTGACTGTACCCAGTGCATGTATAAACAAAAACAAAGAGAGAAAGAGAGAAAGAGAGAAAGAGAGAAAGAAAGAAAGAAAGAAAGAAAGAAAGAAAGAAAGAAAGAAAGAAAGAAAGAAAGAAAGAAAGAAAGAAAGCCTCTATATAAAAAAAAAATTTAAAAAAAATATTAAAAAAAATAAAAAGGATAAATGATTGCTTTATACTTGATTCCATTTCAGCAGCTTCTTTAAAAGAACGAAGCATCATGTGGAAAAAATAATTCATACTTCTACATAAATTAGAGGCATTTAGTTGGAAAGGACATTAAAGATTATTCCACTGATTTTGCAGATGAGTAAGTTCAAGTACAATGAAGTCATTGCATATGGAAGGGAGCATTTGTTTATCAAAACTTAAAAGTTAATTGAAAATACTCTTTCAAACCTTGTTGAAAGTGTGTGCGTCAGATCACCAAGAATTAGTATCACCTGGGAACTTGTTAAAACGTCAGGCTCTTGGGCCTCATCCCAGATCTGCTGAATCAGATTCTACAGTTTAACAAGATCCCCTGATGATGATCTGTATGTAAATTAACATTTGAAAAGAATTGCTTTAGAACATTTTCTGGGAAGGTGGGATCTTAAGTCTTGTAAGTTGTGCCTCAATTTGCTGGTATATAGCATGGGCACTCAGAATGCCTCGTAGAAAGGAACTTACAGGAGACTTCTCAAAGAATGGCAGAGAAACCTGTGTTTAGAAGAATCTAATCAAGATTTTCTCCCTCTGAGCCCTAGTTTTCATTTTATTAGTCAATTAGTGGAGGGCCTACGTAGAGTGAAGAGTCATGTTTGATTCAAGTTTTGCACTGAAAACTACTTAAAGTGAAGCTGCTGTCCGGTAGTTCTAAATTAGGATTTAGGAGGTAGACCATATGCCAGAGCCATATGGATGGTAGTTAAGGGTTTTGAAAGATAGGTAATTAACGCCTTACATCTTAGGCTTTTTTCCTTGAAATTCCAGCTCTGTAACATCTTTAAAATTACTAATAATTTTGTCTTCCCTATTTAGCTCTTCCAAGTATAGGTTATATTTTTAAAAGTTAACATCTGGAAAATTCTAATCATAATCTAATAACCATGAGCAAGAAGCCACAATTGACCTCTCATAAAAATTACATTGTCTTTGGAATTAGACTGTCTGATCCATGTGCTCCTAGTTGTGGGCTAAGAAGGAAAACTCTTTTGAGTCAGTGCTTTCATATTATCAACAGTAGGAATATTGAGGCATGGTGCAGAATTTTCTTTAAGAGATTATGAAGTTTTGGATTGAAAAATGGATTTTTATGATTAGCCTTTACAATTCTGAGTTTCTTAAAATACTAGTGAATAGGCTTTTTATGAAACTAACATAAAAGTAACAATAGTTGCATTAAATTAATTCTAGAAATATTTTATAAAGACATAAATTTAAAAAGCTGTGCTTCATTGCCTAAGTAGATACAGGTAATCTGAATTCTTAGTTTGTAAAGGAATTTTTCCTAATCCTGATACTTTCATTCAAAAATTATATTTTCAGTGATAACTTTGATAGGCTCAAGGATCAGAAAAGTTTGTTACTATTCAGAATAACTGAAAAAGGTTGGTAGTATGATGAAATAGGTGAAATTCCAAAATTTTACATGTCATTTTTATTAAGTTTTAAGTTATAAAGATTTGCAATTTCATTGATTTACTATAATATGTTAGAGTTTATTTCTGTAATAATGTATTTCCTGTTTAATGTTTTATTAATATATTTTATAATCTTTATATATTTAAAATGGAACAGTTATGGATTTACGTAAGAAGAAAGGTGTATCTAAGAGTCAATCCCAAGCAAAATTAGTTATCAGTTATCAGGTACTTTAACTAAAATTAATTACTGCTATTTGGGGGCTCTAACTTGACTCTTTCGTGAAAGCTGAGTGCAAACATTTAGATGATACGCTGTTGTTCCACAAAAAGAAAGCACAAAAATTTCTCTGAAAAACAAATCCCGTTTCCATTACTTTCTTTTGCCCACTTAGAAATAAAACTCAGATTGGAATTTAATTTCAATGAAGTTTGAGTAATGGCATTTCTATGGATGCCTGAAATAACCATATAGGAGCAAAACAAATCTTAGGTATAACATAGATCCTAGACAGTTAATTGCTTGTTAAAGAATATTAGTAGCTAAAATATTTTGATGTTTAAAATGAGGACTGTATACTTCAAGTACCACAATATATAAGCAATGGTAGAATTGCTGTTCAGTTATATAAGCTTCTGTTCATCTCCCAGAGAGGGTTCAACAACTTTATAGACCTGGACCTAGGTCTGGTATCTTCTCTGAAAAGAGATCTGGCAGTCACCTCAAGAATTTGTACAGGGCCTCCCCGGTGGCGCAGCGGTTGAGCGCTGGGTTGCGAGGCTGCCCGCTGCCTCTGCGGCGCCGGTTCGATTCCCGGCTGTTCCTGGCCACCGGAGGAGGGTCCCACATGGCGCGCAGACCTCTCCTGCCGCCCGCTGCTCCCCTCAGCAGTGTCCTTCGGTCCTTCTGCCTGCTCTGCTCCCCGCTCTGGCTCTGGTGAATTCTCTCACCCTCCCGCGCTTCTGACTGTACCCAGTGCATGTACGAACAAACAAATAAATAGATGAATAAAACATGCCTCTATTAAAAAAAAAAAAAAAAAAAAAAGAATTTGTACAAGTACTGATTAAGACCCAAGTGCTCTATATTATTTACATGGTCTACAACAATACTTTTATTTTTTTTTTTAATTTTTTTTTTTTTAATAGAGGCATGTTTTTCTTTATTTATTTGTTTGCTTGTTTGTTTGTTTTGTTTATACATGCACTGGGTACAGTCAGAAGCGCGGGAGGGTGAGAGAATTCACCAGAGCCAGAGCAGGGAGCAGAGCAGGCAGAAGGACCGAAGTACACTGCTGAGGGGAGCAGCGGGTGGCAGGAGAGGTCTGCGCGCCATGTGGGACCCTCCACTGGTGGCCAGGGAGCAGCCGGGGATTGAACCGGCGCTGCAGAGGTCGCGGGCAGCTTCGCAACCCAGCGCTCTACCGCTGCGCCACCGGGGAGGCCCTACAACAGTACTTTTAAACAATACTGGGTTCTGCCTTCTCCCTAGAGAAAATCCTGTGGCTCTTTTGTTAGATAATATTATTTAAAATGAAAAGGTTGGCTCAGTGTGCCAGATATGACAGTTGTGCTTGATTCGATTTTTTTTCATTTGCTTTTGAGAAAGCGAAGTCACTTGAGGTTAAATTCTAGAGGCAGTTCTCCTGGGTTCAGATCATGTCTTACCATTTATTCATTCTTCTATCCTGTCTTATAAAATGTGAATAATATACTCTGGTTTCTCTTCAGATTGTATATATCTTTCAACTTTTTAATGAGAATAATTATACCAGTTTTATAGGGTTGCTTTGAGAATTAAATGCAATAATACATGTAAATGTGTTTAGAATAATGTCTGGGATACAGAAATCACTCAATAAATGTTAATTCTTATTACTATTATTGTTTGGCAGAAACTAGCCAGCCAACCCAGCCATTTAAACCCTCCCACTTAGAAATAATAAACTAAGTCACCAGTATAAAATCATTGTTTATCTTCCAACCTTCTGTAGCAAGAGTGCATGTTTCCAATTGAACTTAAAGCCTGCCTTGCAAAAAAAAGGCATGAGAATGTTTAACTGTTTAACTTTTCATTGCATTTGTGATGAAAGTATACCTTTAATTATATATGTGTCTGTAAGTATATGCACATATGTGTATATAATATGTTGCATATATTCATATATAAAGACACATAAGTAGCCTATATATGTATTTCCATATTTGTTTGGGGAGGGGAGAGCTTGTTTTTCATGTTTTTTGGGGGGGGATTTTTTTTGTTGTTGGTTTGGTTTTAGGGGTTTTTTTGGTTTGCTTTTTTTTTTTTAACTTGGTATAAAAGCCTTAAATTTTAACCAAGAGCTCTGTTTCTTGATGAGATGGACTCATTTTTATCTAAATCCTGCTTGTTCTTTGGACAAGTTTTTATTTTGGAAAGCCAAGTATGTCACTAGTACAGAAAATAATTGACAGTATAAATCTGGGACTAAAAATATTTCTCTTTTGAGGATTTCAGAATGCATTTTAAATTCATTCCAAGAATATTATGCCTGTAGAGTTCACGGAGGTAAATAGTTCATGAACTTACTGAAGTTGGACAATTCTAAACATCCATTAGACCCATAGAGGACATAGTTTTCAAATATACATTTTTTTAATCTCAAATTCTGTTTCTACCTTTACCTGCCAGGGGGAAAAAGATATAGATCAGTGCTCAAATTTTTATTATAAAGCCTCTTTATTTTTATTGTTTTTCTACTATGTTTGAACATCTGGAATTAGATGTCTATGATAGAATTTTCAATGTTTCAAGTGATTTAACATGAAAATTTTTCCTTGGTCTTTTAAATTTCTATGTTTCAAAAAGAAGTACCTTTAATTTCCCCATTTAAGAGATAGGTAGAGCAACATTTCATTGCATAAATGAAAAGCTGATTTTTTTTTCTCTACATCTGTTTCATCTTTGGTCAGATTCACATCTAAACTAAATCATGCACTTAAGTATATAAACCATTTGCATGCAGTACTAATACCTGCCAGTTATGTGCCTGTATAATTCTGGGCGCTACTTGACAATTTCAGATACCAGCAATGTAAGGTTTAGTACACCCAGTTTTACAGAGAAAGTGACTGAGCTCTGATGTGTTGAGTGACTGGTTTAAAGCAATACAAGAGAACCATGATTCAGAGCCTGGGTGTCTTCAAACCCTAATTGTTTAGCCATTTTCCAGTCCCTCTTTCAGTCATACCACAGATATGTTTCAACATATAGATCATGAGGTATGAATTAAAACTTGTTTTCAATAAGCCAGTGGGTGACCAAACACTGTATTTTCTCCCTGTACATTTTTTTTAAAAAGATTTATTTATACAAACACAAGGGTACCGGCCAGAGGTGTGGGAGGGTGAGAGAATTCATAAGGGACAGAATAGGGAGCAGAACAGGCAGGCTGACTGAAATACACTGCTGAGGGGAGCAGCGGGCGGGCGAGACAGGAGAGGCCTGCCACTCCATGTGGGAATCTCCCTGGCCAACCGGGAATCAAACCGGCGCTGCAGAGCCTGCAGGTAGCTTCACAGCATTGCGCTCAACCCACTGCACCACTGGGGAAGCCCCCCTGTACATTTTTAATTTAATTAATGAGGGAAGGAGAAGTTCAGGGAAGTTCTTAACTGTGAAACATCCTTTTTGTATTGACTTGTTATTCTATTTTCTTTTGCATCCTATTCATGTACTTCTAATGTAGGCATTTTCATGCCTTATGTTATAGGCTGGTAATTTGTGATCAAAGATTTAAGAATCCTACATAAAACAGTAAAAAACAAGAACTGTAAAGGTCAAGTCCAGTGCTCCCAGAAAAGAGAAAGTGGCTGAAAATTTGACCTACCACAACTCATTTGAAGGACCATCTTATTCCAATTGTCATAATCTTAGTAAAATAGAAATGCAAACAGTATCATTATTCAACCAATCATTGGTTGAATAAAATATTCCTAAAATACTCTTTGTATTTCCCTGCTCCCCCCCCCCTTTTTAACTTAATCTTACTGGAATATTAGCTATTATAAAGTTTCTTTGTTACTTTCATTGAATTTCCTTGTGATAACTAAAATATCATTTGTAGTGGTAGCTATTTTTTTATGTTTACTGAAATAAGGACACTTGTATTTATAAACACTATAAAATTTCTGAATATTATCCCTATAATGACCCCATCTATTCCTACCTTTTAAAATTATCAGTAGTTCTTATAAATTTTTTGAAAGACTATCAAAAAATTTTAGTTTTTGAAGTCTGCTCCCCATTTATAAGATGTGCAGTTCCCAATTTATGAACAGGATCCTTTGCTTTTTAGAGAGCAGCATGAATTTTCTTACCCTTCATATAAATAAAATAATATTTAATAATTAGTGTAGTAATGTTTTACTTAGTGGTTAAGTTCCTGGATAGGTTCATTTTTTCAAAAACCAACCTTACTCACTATACAGCTTAAATTCTGATAGTAAAAGTTCATCCTTCCTCCCCACACCACATTTAAGTAAAACCTTGACTTCCAGCTGCTGGATACCTGCTGTTTTCCTGTAGAATACATTCCATTCTGTTATTCATTTTTTTTGTTTTGTCAGCTCACTATAATATTATGGAACTTCATCTTTCAAGATTCCTAAGTATCTCCCACAGTATTTTGCTTATAGATGTTTGATATTAATAGACTCACGAATTTTAAAGTTAAAATTCACTTCTGCAGAACTACTCAGTCTCATTTATTCAACATAGCAGGTCAGATGTGGTGTGAATGAGCATTTTAACGCTTTCTGTATACCTAGCAAAGCACTATTTTAAAAGTGTAGGGGGGTTTTGTTATATATATATATATATATTTTTTTTTTTTTTTTTTTTTTTTTACATCATTCTTCCCTTTTGTACAATGTATGCTTTCTCCTCTCAGGTGTAGTTCCCATATAATTCCCACCACCACTTTACCCTGCACCATCACCACAGTCCCTTGTACTCTTCTCCCCTGTTTTGATCCCTCTCCCTCCCACTCCATAAGTACACTTTTAATGTTAAGCTGTTTTTATGTACATGGTGATAAGGGCTTAAATCAAATGCCTATGTGATCTTTACCAAATATGCATAAGTTTTCCTTTATTTCCTTTATTTATTTTAAACTTTATTTAGAATTAAGATTTTTAGGTTCTCCTTTAAAGTAGAATTTCTTGATCATTTCCCATGGCTACATGTAGCACTAGATTACTTAACAGATTACAAATTATAAAAGGGGGGCAGGAAGAGATAGATAATATTAATGATTGGAGAGTCTAATTAAAGCCTTAGAACCTTACTGCTGCTTGTCTGGCCACACAGTTTAAAGCCTGAGTAAAAGTTGATTTAGAATAGGTTTTCACCTGTCACCATCTGATTACATTTGTGGAATCACGTACTTAATTTTAGATATCTTTCTATAATTATTAAAATATAACTTTCATACCTAAATATAATAATTTGAATGGCAGCTTTCTTCCCCTTCTTAAATTCTGCCTCTATAACCTGAAATATTTTTATCTTCCCTATGTAAACATAATTGCAAGGTTCCATATCTGTTACAAATAATCATTTTTCTTAAGCAGTTAGTAAATGAAATACCCGTTTATGACAAGCATTAAATAAGCTCTTAATGCTGATTCCAAAGGTCTAGTGGCCCTCGTAATTCATCAGCAGGAATACTTGTGTTTAGCCAAATCCTATAAGTAGAGGTAATACACGTGAATCAAAAATTACTAATTTTAATATCTTTTATTCTATAATATTTCTATGTCGAGTTACATTTTTTATTATTGTAATAACTTAGCTTTCGGGCCACTTATTATGTTAAACTGGAGGTCTGATTTAATATGTTTTAAGAACATAGATGTCAGAAGCAATAAAAAATTAATCAGAGGGGACCATCTCTTAGAACAACTCTAATCCAGACCAAATCCTTCAGCAACTGAACATAATTTTTTCTTAATATGACAGATGTGTGAGCATTATTTAAATCTCAAGTACACAACTTTGAGGTATAGCAGGAATTTTTAGAGCAAATCCCATTTTAAATTGGGGTTTAGTGATTTTTGGAATTTAGTGATTTAGAGACCTTATTATTAATAATTAACCCAACATATAACTGTCACAGAAGTGTCCTTTGACAAGAAAAAAGTGAATAATAGGGAAATTAAAGTACAAGCCTGCTTTTCATTATAATTTTTAGGTAATGTATGCAGAATCTATGAATATTGCTGTTGGGTGATTTAAGTGATTTTATTAGATGGCTGTGGAGGGAATAGAATTGTTTCTAGGAAATTATTTTTTGCTCTTCAAAACTGATTATCAACCATTGAAAAATGAAGGGCTATGTACTTACTATATTGTTAAATAGTTCAGGTCCATCTTTAAAGGTTAAATGAGTGCATTTCTCTCATAGCGGATCATAATTCTGTGGTTTGATGGCAGGAATGAAGTGAAATACTTACCAAACATTATTGTCAGAAGGGCAATTGGCATCACAAACAATCCAACCAGCAAATCAGCTACTGCCAGTGACATTAGGAAATAATTGGTAGCATACTGCAGCTTTTTCTCCAGCGAAACAGCCAGAATAACAAGGATGTTTCCACCAATTGTGGGTATTATCACCATGAGTATCAGGAGAGCTGCCCAGCGTGGTTTAATTCCCTGTTCCTCACCAATCTGCTTCATTTCCTCCGGTATCGAGTCTGTCTGTAATCCCGACCAGTTAGAAGAAAATAAATGATCAAATGGGCTCTGCAAAATATGCTCAGGAATTGTTCTTTGTTCAGACATTCTGTAAGAGAAAGCCGTATGCTGTTTTTCTGTGATTTGATCCAATTCTGTACAGTGGTCAGCATGGTCAGTAGCTATGCTGGTCATAGGCTTTTTTAAGGCATTGTACCCTTGCCAAATCCTCAAAGCCAAAGGACTCCTTCCTTTAAAAAAAATTCAAGTTCTCAGAAATGAGAGTGCACATGCCTCTGTCATGTCCAAGGGTCGGGATCCTGCAGAGGCTCCGATTTTGGAAGGTTCAGTGCATGGAACCAGAGGCTGTAGAGAAAAAGCTTTTACTAGTTTCTCTTTTTTTTTTTCTTTTTGCTGTAGTGGCAGAGTCATGTTTGAAGGCAAGTTCCCCCTAAATATAAATATATGGATTGCATTATTTTCTTTAATTTCAAAAACAGTTTAAAAAAAAAAAAGCCTGAACATAGTAGCCCCTCCCTTCTCAATAGGTCTTGTGCATTTGTGACGATGCAGCCAGGTCCACATACACATTTCTGATATGGCTAACTTAATGAGATTGGAGTTACATTCATTTTTTAAGTGTTTATAATAAAAAACTAGGTGTTTCCTAACCCTTTAATGTCTTTTACCTTTACTTTTGAATATGCACAAAAGAGTAGAAATGTCAAAGAACTGAGTAATTCTGAATGGAACCTTTTCATACACACTGGCCACCCACCTAAAGTCTAAATAAATGGTTTACTGGCTAGGAATCCTCATTTGTAATTGAGTTTTGTCTGACCAGGATTATCTTAATAGTGACATGAATGCCATTTTTGTAAAGCATTTTAGAAGCCCTTTAGTTTGAGAAAAGGAAAGTAATAAAGTGTAATAGATAAACTGTCTCAACAATTTTTAGTAATTTTACCTTCCAAAGCATGTTTCTACAACAAATACTTCGCAAATTTTTACTCCGTACCAACTTTAAACCAATTTTGTTTATTTGGTTTTTGAGTGGTAATTTTTTTTACGTTCTTAGTTTCCTTGGAAAGGAGAGGAAACTAATGGAAAAGTTAAATCATTATTTGTAAAATTTGCAGATCTCATTAAAAATCTCCCCTTTAACACTGATAAATTTTTCATTTTGATTTTTAAGCTAGTGAATAGAAATGAAAAATTATGATAACACAGTTTTTTAAGAAAAAAAATCTTTATATTTATTTGTTGAAAGTACTTACCTCTTATTGCTTGTTTCTCTCTAAGCATGTCATCCTGTCTGCTCTGTATATCTGCTCACTGCTGTAATCCTCCTCACGTTGACTTACTGCGCCTGCAGCACTGGACTTGAAGGCAATGTAACAGATGTGTTATATAGCTGTAAGCCTGCCAAGGAAGTTATTTCCTCTTTGGTACATTCATTTTTAGAGAGTAGCAGAATTCATTATAATTCCTAAAATCACCAGTTAAATGTTGAACCAGTTCACGATGAGTCTTATTCATGTTATATTCTTAAGATCTGTCTTTCATATTTGGAAGATTGTAATAATCACTCTCATTTTAGTTTAAGATAGTTTTGTATATGTGCTGGGAAGCAAGTACAAGATAGTTTGGTTTCGGATTAACCCTGGGCTGTTTTTACCATTTGAGGGAAAAAAGATAAGATTTAACATAGAGATTCCAGTTTTAGTTTGTGAAAATTTTGCTCTGCGTGCCTTACAGTGATTTCCAGAGTTCTGATTTCTAGCAGTGAAACAAGAATCCTATTTAGCTTTTATGCCTTTGCTGTGAAGCACAATTAATTTTCTCTGGTTGTAACCTTATATAGAAGAGCACAGAAAGGTCTGAATTCAACATGTATACATAGGTTTTAGCAGAAACTTTTTCATTGCTCATTTTTAAACAAATGGCCTCTGGATTTGGAAGTTAGTTCATTGGCAGTATTTGTTTTTTCCCTACAGATTTTATAATGGGGAAAGTATACAATATGTAATTAAAATATATTTCTGCCTTTTTTTTTTTTTTTTCTCCAGAAAACTGGTATAAAAATCTTACTAGCCATGCTAAGATTCCTCTAAACCAGTACCTTAGTATTAGAACTAAAAACATTTGTGCCACTTTTTGTTTCAAATTTATGTTCCTTGGCTTATATGAAAGTTACTGGAAAACATTTGGTTTCTTTAAGTTCTACTAACCACTTGAGATTTTATTCAACATTTGCTGCACCCTTTGACTCAGGAGAAATATTTGCTAAGAATTTTGGGTGAAACAAAGGTAACATTTGAGCAATTAGATGGATTTCAATGTGTCAGTTTCTTTTTAGGAACTGGGAAATGTTTTAAACTATTGCTTTATTTTGAATCATAATTTGGCCTTGGAGCTTATGCAGGCAGATATGTCAGCAACACACACAAAAAAAATAATGTTAGATTAAAAATAATGGGTACCTGGCAGCAAAGGGATTAAAGTCGCAGCACTATCAAGTTATTGCTAGCCACTGCAGCATGAGTTCTATCCTTAGCCAGGGAGCTAACCCCCATGGCGCAGCAGACCTCTCCTGTCTCGCCAGCTGCTCCCCTTGGTGGTGTATTTCAGTAGAACTGCCCGTTCTGCTCCCTACTCTGCCTCTGGTGAATCTTCTCACCCCCCTTCCCACCCCTCACCTCTGGCCTATACCCCAGTTGTTGTATCATAAATAAGTAAAAATAAATCTTTTTAAAAAATGATACCATCACATTCAATTAAAAGACACGCATGAAATTCATTTATTTGTGTTTATAAGGTAAGCTTTTAAACAAATCTTTTGAGTATATTATAAAAATGCCAACCATTGTTATTATTATACTTTGCTAATATTAACCCTTCTCACTCACAGTCACTCACTTTTTAAAAAAATCTTAACAGGGTAGGGGGAGCCTTAGTGGACTGTGGTGGAAGATTTTTGGTAGTGGGTGTGATGTGATAGTATGCATTTGTGGAGATATGAACCTATATTTCTAAAACAGTGTTAAAAATCAACATTATCATCAATAAATATAAATTTTTAATTATTAATGCTACTGCCAAAAAATTAAAATATTATAACAAAAAGTAGTTAAAAATCAGTGCTTGCTATTTTTTAGGTGTATAGATTTGTAAGTTACTTTAATGGCTGAGGAATATAACTAGTTAGCACAACTATTTATATAGCAACTTGAGTTGTTAGAAGCATAGCTGAAAATGAGAAAGCAAAATAATAAATAAATAAATAAAAGGGTGTAAAAGTTGGCAAATAACTGAACCTCTAGATTGCATGCTTGTTAGAAAGAAGGCAGCCATTAAGTCCCCACTCACTCTACACACACACTCAGAGAACCTTGGTTCTCCCCCCTTTAATGAAAATAACATTTGCTCATGATGATAAATCATAATAGTACAGAAGAATTTCAGTGGTAAATCTATTCAAGACGGATTTAGCAAACACATTTCCCTGCCTCCTCCGGAGTTGAATAACATTAAAAGATGGAAAAGCACTTTGATAATGGCAAACAGGGTAAACTGAAGAAATAGGACTTTGAAAGTATAGGCATGTGGGTCTACTCAGAATAGAGGCTTATAGCTCCATAACTTCATGAGGTATAACAATTGATACCATAGTGATGACTTCCACATATTTAAGAAAAGGTTAAATCATCTTCATTTAACTCTTATTTCAGGTGGGAGGAAAGCATGCAATGCATTTTTTTTTTTAAGTTTTTCATCCAAAATACATATTTGATTCTCGGTGGTAGAATATTTTCAAATATCCAGAAAATTCATATGTGTAGAATATTTCATTTACCTAGAACTGCAGGTAAATTAATTCTTATTAAAGTATCTTAAAAGGTTAGAGTCAGATCTATTAACAGAAAATATAGTTGGTACTTTTTTTCCTAAAATGTTTAATTTTAGGGCCTCCCCGGTGGCGCAGTGGTTGAGCACTGGGTTGCGAAGCTGCCCGCGGCCTCTGCGGTGCCGGTTCGATCCCCGGCTGCTCCCCAGCCACCAGAGGAGGGTCCCACATGGCACGCAGACCTCTCCTGCCGCCCGCTGCTCCCCTCAGCAGTGTGCTTCGGTCCTTCTGCCTGCTCTGCTCCCCGCTCTGGCTCTGGTGAATTCTCTCACCCTCCCGCGCTTCTGACTGTACCCAATGCATGTATAAACAAAACAAACAAACAACTAAATAAATAAATAAATCATGCCTCTAAAAAAAAAAAAAGATTTAATTTTATCCCTAGTACCTTTTAAATTAATTAGAATATCCCCTTTGACTTAAAAAGGTATAATACTTGTATAGGTCTTGGAAGACAGCTTAAATATCAACCAAAGACCTATCAAATACTAACCATTAAGGAATTTTGAAACTATATGGTTGTGTCCATTACTTATTCATTTGTGAAGTGTCTATTGAGTTCCATTTTCCCATGTAGATGTGATGATAAACAAGATAAACATTTTCTATACTTTTTGCAATTTTTCTGATGGGGGGTTCAAACAAGTACAATGCTGTAATTCTAATACAGTCATGTGTAGAACTAAGACTAACTCATTTCAGCAGGACCCACAGAGCAGCTTATATACAGCTTTGCAGATTTTTTTTCATTCTTCACTCTCTTTGACAAGATCAGAAAAAGAACTGAAACTGTAAGAATAGCTATTCCAAACAGTTTATTCTCCTTAGACTCTTTTACTCACTCTCCCCTGACGATTGAATTTACCTCTTCTTTTAATGAAAGAGGTAGACCAATCTGAATGCCCTTATCACATTTCACTTTCTCAAAATGCCTTTTCATCCATCCTGTCCTTTGGGATCATTTGTCATTCCTCTTTTCCACAACTAATTTGCATTAAGTTCTCGATTCCAACTCTTTGTTATGTTCTTTGTAGTTTGCTGAATTAAGTGTCTTCACATAGAATCCACACCCTATTAAGGGTGTGGGAATGAGTTAGAAGATTGCAGAAGCCAAGAAAAGACACAAGGTTTGTCTTTGCATACTTAATTCCTCAACTCTTAATTTCTTTCTTGTAGACATACTCCAGTTAATAAAAAATAAAATCTTCCTTACCCTTAAAATCTCTTTCATCATCAGATTTCTTTAAAGAATTGCCCATCTTTTTCTTTCTTACCACCCACCCAGTCTATAATCCTTATTTTTATCCCCAGTGTTTTACTAAAACAACTCTTGGAAAATCACTAAGTAGTACCAGTTGTCGATTTTGTGTAACATTCAACACTGTGACTAAGCATTTACTCTTAAAACTTGTGTCTTTTCTTGGCTTCTGGAATCTTCTAACTCATTCCCACACTCTTAATAGGTGGATTCTCCCAGTTCTTGTCCTGAGTTGATGTCATCTCCCTCTGCATTTTCCTCCATTCACTCTTTTTTTTCTTTTCTTTTTATTTATTTATTTTATTTATTTATACAAGCACTGGGTACAGTCGGAAGCACGGGAGGGTGAGAGAATTCACCAGAGCCAGAGCAGGGAGCAGAGCAGGCAGAAGGACCAAAGTACACTGCTGAGGGGAGCAGCGGGCGGCAGGAGAGGTCTGCGCGCCATGTGGGACCCTCCTCCAGTGGCCGGGGAGCAGCCAGGGATCGAACTGGCGCTGCAGAGGCTGCGGGCAGCTTCGCAACCCAGCGCTCAACCGCTGCACCACCAGGGAGGCCCTCCTCCATTCACTCTTATGGTTTCTATTGACTTGTTAAAGAAAGCTCCTAAAACCTTATTTCCAGATGGATGACTGCTACTCTGGTGGTGAAATGAGACAAGTGCTATAACTGACACTTACGAAACCTCAGATAAATCAATTTCTCTGAGCTTTAATTTCTGAATGTGTAAAAAGATGATGTAACCTGCTCTGCCTACTTCACAGCAGCAGTTGACCCTAATTGATCACCTCCCCTTCTTTAAAATACTTCCTGCACTTGGCTTCCACTAAACCATACTCTGCTTAACTTCACTGAATTCGCAGTGTTCCTAAGCATTCACCAGCCCTGAGCATACATGTAATGTATCTTCTCAGATCCCCTGGTATACACTCAGGCTTTTAAAAGTCCTTGTTATGGGAGGTAGGGAAGGGGTGAAAAAAAATAAATGGAAAAAAAAAGTCCTTGTTACCCCATATATCTCCTTCCAGGCTTTTCAGCCTGTTCACAGCCTGGTCTGATTATCCATTGTGCCGGCCTCCTGTGACCAGTACTTTTGCCTTTAAATGTTTTTGACCAGTGTCACCTGGGAAGTTGCTCCAGCCCTGGGAGCACTCTTACGTGGGATGAAACAAGTTCAAGCCATTGCACTGGTCCTTCAAGGAATCTCCAGGCATTGAAACAACCAACCAAAATTCTTTTGAGAATGAGGTCTGGTGTTTTTCCCTCTCATCAGCAACCTGCACCTGTGCATGGCCTACCATCCTCAGT